CTGGCCCCCTCCCCTGGATCCGTCCTTGGACTGTTTTACTGTAATTTTTGTACTATTAATAAAATAATTCGGTAGGGTTGAAGTGATTTTCCTGCTGAAAACAATAGACTGACATTTTTCAAAATTTAAAAACATTTTGTTATTTGCACACCAGTCTTGTAACTTACATAAATCAGATTGTAATACAGAAATGTCACGAGATTCCGAAACTTTTCTAAATATCTTAAGATCATCAGCAAATATACGATAATCACTATCAAAATTATATCCTATATCATTTATAAAAATAATGAAAAGAAGTGGACCCAAAACAGATCCCTATGGTACACCTGAAGGCACACTTTGTAAACCTGACATGTGACCCCCAATTTTTACTTACTGGAGTTACATAACTGTGAAACCACTCTAAAAGCGTTCAAGTTTTATTATTAATTATTTGTAGAAACGGTTTCACCATCAGGGGCCCCATCTGATAACACTCTTCCAGTGGTGTTTGAAGCGACTGAAGACCCAACTTTAAACAATCTGACCCGAAGTGATGTCAATTGTGACAAAACTGGGACTTGCTACGATGGTAAAAAAATACAAATAATTTCAATTCGTCTTAATCTGATTGTGGCTCTTTCAGTTTCGGTCAATTGTAAAGATACCAAAATCGCAGTTCAAGTCAGGACTAACAAACCGTTCAATGGTCGGATTTATGCTTTAGGACGTTCAGAAACTTGTAATGTTGATGTTATCAATAGTGATCTTTTCAGATTGGATTTAACAATGACGGGACAAGATTGTAATACGCAATCGGTGGTACGTTATTCCATGTAGCAATAAAAGTGTTTAAAAAAGTGTTTTAGACCGGTGTGTACAGCAATACTGTTGTTTTACAACACCACAGTGTTGTTATGACCAAAGCTGATAAAATCTACAAAGTCAAGTGCACGTATGACATGTCATCGAAAAATATCACCTTCGGAATGATGCCAATCAGGTGAGAAATGAAATAAAACAGTAAACTTTTTTTTTTGAAATTGTGTTACTAATAATTTAAATTAATTTTCTTTTACAGAGATCCTGAGATGATTAGCATTACTTCGGCTCCGGAAGCGCCTCCTCCAAGGATTCGCATTTTGGATAGCCGCTCACGTGAGGTTGAAACAGTCCGTATTGGAGACAAACTCACTTTCAGAATTGAGATTCCTGAAGACAGTAAGTAAAAAAATATTTTTTTTTCTACTTTGCGTTCGTACTAAGGCCACCAGAGTTGCTGAAAAGTTTCCTATTTTCACCAGATTACAAAATTATATCATTTAAATTTTTTTAATACTGTGGAAGATTTACGTTTTTTACATAAATCTCATCGCAAATCTGCTCAAAAACGTGCATAAACGCTCGAAAAATTCATTTGGTCTAATTCTATAGTTAGTTTTTAATTAAATTTTGGGAAATACCAGGTGACAAAAAATCTATTGGCAACACTGAATTAGTGGTAATCCTTCTAAATTTGTTAAATCGGAATGTTTCAAGTGACAGCTAAATCAACAATCGTCCGCAATTAACATCATTTTGGACCATATTTTGTGTTTTTATCTTTTTTGACAAAATTTTACTCAAAAAGAGCTAAATCGAATGAAACAAACAAAATAACACTAATTTAGATTTATTTTTGTTGTGTTTAGCTATGTTTTGATAATATACTGCAAAATAAATGAGTCTCTAGTTCAAAAACTAACTAAATCAAACGAGACAGGCTAAAATGATATCAATTTCAAACTATTTTGGTAATTTTTCAGTCAGTTTTAGCAAAAATTTGAATGTATTTTAAAAACATTTTGAAACACTCTCAAAATGCAAAAATAAAATTTTAAAAATTTTGGTTTGTTTTTAACAAAAAATAGTTAAAAAAAGTGCACTTTTACTCGAGGAAGCCGAGAAATCTCCTAATTAGATAGAAAAAGGTTTTTTTTCCAATTTTTTGACTAAAAATCGTAATTGATTTTGATCAAAACATGCCCAAAAAGCAATTAGGTAAAAAATTATATAATTTCCATCATTTTCAAGCAAATAAAAACGTTTTTGAGCCAAAACTGTTTTTTTTTTCTCACACAATTTTGCTAAAATAGCCAAATTAGGGGTTGAAAACGACATTATTATTGCCTTTTTCAAGTAAAATTTCACCCAAAATGGCCAAAAAATTAGCAAATTAAGTTGAAAATGGTATATTTTTTTAAACTGGGGTTAAGATAAAAAGTATTCACACGCTAAAATGATATCAATTTCAATCTAATTTGGTAATTTTTCAGTCAATTTTAGCAAAAATTTAAATGTATTTTAAAAACGTGCTGAAACACTCTAAAAATGCGAAAATAACACTAGTTTTGGCCTGACTTAATCAATTTTTGGTTTGTTTTTAACGAAATTTTGCAAAATAGTTCTGTTTCTAGCTAAAAACATACTAAAATGGACAAAATAATGTAGTTTTTGACCCATTTTAGCGATTTTTTTACCTTGTTGAGTTAGAAAAACAACTCTCGATTTTTCAACCTGTTTTTGAGTTTCTGCATGTCTAAAAAAACGTGCAAAATGTTCAAAAAAAATACAAGAAAAGTGTCATAATTTTTTACTGAATTGATTATATCAATAATTAAAAAAGTTATTTTACTAAAAGGGCGAATACTCGATTAAAAAAAATTTCAAAATGCACTAATTTTCTGCTGGAACTACAGTCATATTTGTAAAAAATCAGCAGAAATTAGAATTTTTTCAAAAGTTTTCACCAAATCATTAAACTAGTATAAAAATCACCAGACCTGGCAACACTGTTCTAATTTGATTAATTTTCGGTTTGTT